TCCAATTTTGGATATGGACATATGGCAGCAGCACAGCACAACGCCCTTTCATCACTTGTGTGCACAGCCATCCATAAATCAACAGAATTGTTGCTGAGAGCATGGGTAAGCAAAGGACCCACTTCTTGCACACCAAGGTTGTGCTGCTTTGTTTGGCATGGGACCCATATGAGGATCCCCTTCCAATATGGTAGTATATGGTAATAGATCTTCCTTTTCTAGAATACTACTTCTAGAGTATTCAGAGGTAGTTTACCATTCCTTTCCTATGGGGGAACTCTAGGACTGTGCAGCTTGCCCAGGACTACACAGGCTGGCTCTTCTGGGACATGGAGTGGGAAATCAAACTCCCAACCTTTCACTTCACAGCCAGATACCTAACTCACTGACCTACCCATCTAACACAGTCCAAATTAGGAAAAAACATTTTAGCAGAGCCAGATACCTAACTCACTGACCTATCCATCTAACATAGTCCAAATTAGGAAAAACATTTTAGCAACTTGAATAGAAAATTGGGTTTTAGATCACATATACAACTTCTGGGAGAGAACAGTTTTAAACTTTTAATTATGTGTTATTAGGAAAACAAAAACGGTGGAGTGCATTCTACATGTTTATGGTAGCATGAACCCAGAAAACGCCATCCCTTAGTAAAGATGGAGTATTTTGCCAAAATACAATAGTTTCTTTTCTGATGTCTGTGACCTAAGTGATCCAAGTGTTGATATGAAGAGTTGGTTGGTTCCAACTAGCTACAACACTATGAAAAACAACATGTTTCAGGAAAACAGATTTCCCATACCAAACTTAACTGATAGTGGGGTTATGAAGAAATGAAAAGAAGGCATATTGTTGCTCTGTTCAGAAAACAGAGCCTAGCATTTTAAGAAAATAAATAGTTGGGCCAAATTGGCAAGTTGGAAGTACACACACCGTAGTGCTATCTCTCACCTTAATTTCTGTGTCTAAGGAAATAGGAGCAAATTCATGATTTCACATGAAGTCACCCTGTACTCCTGCTGCTGGCCAATCAAGTCACCTAACATTATCACCCAGTACTCAACTAATCTTTCAACATATACGAAGTCTGCATGAAAAGCTTTCTGTCAAGCCATAATATACTGTATATATATAATGGTGGTGTTTTGTTGCCTTCCACTCTGCAGTTCAACTCCTTTGATCATCATCACAACCATTTCCACCCTGGGCATCCCTTGCCTTTGGCTTCCAGTCGATATGACACTGCTGCTGCCCAAAGTCAGGTGTGATTGGAAGTAATAGTTTCCTAAGCCTCCACAGGCCTCCTTGTCAAACTCCTCTGCCCCCAACCACTGGCTTTTCCATGGTTTGCATTAACAAACTCCTATACTTGTCATGGTTGAAGTGCAGTGGCAGTCCAGAAGATAGTCCCTCTGCAACCACTCTTAGCATTCACGCAGGGCTGAAATAGATTCATGAACATTCCTCACATCCCCTAAGGATACGAAAAGTCGTACAGCTGGACTTTTACACTCCCCCAAAGGAAGTGGTCCTGTATTATTCTCAAGGACTACCAAGGAGAATAAACCTGTGTTGTCTTGCCCACTCTCAGTTGGTCTTGCATGCATGGGATATTAATTAAATATATCTTCCCCACCACCACCTGGGATGACCTACAGTCTATAGCTCATCCGATGAGTAAATCCTCCCTGGCCTTAATAATGCCGTCAGAGTCTGTATACTGTATTCCCTCAATTGGTTGGGCTCCTTGGGAAGCACCTGAGCTCTACCAGCAAAAAAGAGGCATCACCACTGTGACATTCTCTGCTTGGCACAACACTGTTCGGCTCTGTGCTTCTCAATGCCCTGGGACCTGCAGTGACAGTAGTGGCGACAATTTATTCTTTTGTTCTGACTGTCATGTGTATAATATAAATTAGAGGGGGCACGGTCTGCAAGAGGCACATGCTGGTAAAACTCTACCAAGACTTTTTCACTCCATCAACAGCCTGAGCCTGTGCCCAAACACATAACAGGTTCACTTTCTACATAGCATGGTGTAATTAGAAATTAGACACATAAGAGAACCTTCTTATTTCAGCCATATATTGACCTCCACATGCCATCTTAGGTCCTCCCCCCCTCCACCCATCAAGGGTGGCACAGAAATTAATATACTGTATAGTTAAATAAGAAGAGCTATGATAATGTTCAAACTCCAAAATAAATTGTAATTAGAAAAACCTCCTTTGCAATGAAATCAATGTCACTGATTTGTCAGCACAGTGTTGTTGTTTTCCAGAGAACTTTGCCCATTCACATCACTTCTGAAATTCTTTGGTTCACGTTTTCTTGTGTTTGTGCTTCTTCAGAGTATGATAAAAGAAAACGTTTAGCCGTTACAGAATTCCTGTTCTTGGCAACAACAAAAAAAAAGGTATGAGAGGGAACCTCTCACCGCTAGAAGGTGCTAACAACTTGCTGAGAGATATTGGGCAACATCTTCCTTGTGTAAAGTTTTGTGGTGCAAGGTGATGATGCTATCAGCTAGCATCAGTAACAGTTAAAAGTCATTAAGTGCTTCTTATCTCCCTGATTTTGGTCACTGATTAGATCTGATGATCTATTTGAAATACAAGGTAACAAAATGTGAAGTGTGGTGAACACTCTGTGGCATGCTTCCATACAAGTTGAAGATTTTGAAGCCTATACAGTAGTAAATGGAACACAACACACTTTGTTCGGAATCTTGTTGTGCAAGAAGCTTCCCCTTCCCCTTAGCAGGGTCTGATTTCAGAATTAGCATGCATCTGCTTATGGGATCACCAATTTACACAGTTTTTCTCTAACACAATTCTAGCCTTCATTTTCATTGAGATATTTACTTTTTTTAACGTTGTGAGTTGCAACCCCAAAACACGAATCTGCACACTTCCAATAATACAGTGCAGGTGCAATTTCTAAAGCATAAAACAAATAAACCCCAGACGTTGTCAATTACTTAAAAATATACAGTACTGAGTGGCCTTCCATAACCTAGACACATTCATCTGTTTGAGCAAAAACTAAAACAAAAACAGAACACAATGATAGTTGCAATTTTAAGACTAATGAAATTTATTTCCCTCTGAGAGCTTTGTTAGGGTGACTGACAAAATATAAGTTAATTATTATTTCAATATTAACTGTGTAATTATAAATTGCCCATATCTGTATACTCATGGGACACTTTAATTGGCCATGGTAGTATTTACTAAAGATCTGTGTGAGGCACAAAATTTTTCACAACCTTTGTGAACAGCAACCCCGGAACACACAATAATCCATGTTAAGCTCTTAAAAGACCTCCAGTCCTGCTTCACTCTGAAAATTGGTTTCTGCCACCGGTTGTTACTTTTTTAGATTACGCTTTTGTAACAGTGCGGTATTTAGCCTCCCCACCCAGTGTAATTTGTTTTAACTGTATGTAAACCACCCAGAAGAGCCCTACAGCACTAATGGGGCAGTATATAAATCAAAGGAACTAATAAATAAATACCTGGCAATTCTGATGGGCCTTATACTGCAATTCATCAACTGAACCTAGTGAAATTACCATCTTATTAAGACCACAATGCCACCTTTTAAAATATTCAAATGTTTGTGTATGCTATTTTTTTATTCTGCTTCAGGTTTTTTTTTCTACTAATGTTGAAGTTTTGGTTTATCTTGTAGGGTTTGAGGTTTGCTTATTGTTTATAATTTATGTTGTGAACCGCCCGGAGTGGCCCTTGGCTAGATAGGCGGTATCTCAATCAATTGATCATCAATCAATCAATCAAATAAATAAGTACAGTAAATAAAATTATCATGAATAAACAAAATATTTAATAAATCTATCATGCATGAATAAATTAAAATAAACAAATCACATTATCGTGAATGAATAAAATTAACATAAATAAATAAAATTAAAATAAATGAGTGAATAAATAAACAAACAAATAAAAAATAACATGTTTTCGGCCGCGCTGGATAACTCACGCCGCAGCCAGCACGACCTGAAAACTTCCCCCGCGCGCTCTCGACGGAGAAGGAAGCCCTTCCCTAGCGCGCGCTCGCTCGCGCTCCCGACAAGCCTCTCGGACGCGCGCGCGCGCCCACGAAAGAGCCTGTTCCCCCTCCTCCCCCACCTACACCCAGCGCCCCAAGTGGGGAGCCCGGCTTCCCGTTTCCGCGCAGCCGCAGTGGCGCCCGTTTGGCGGGACTTATTTCCCAAGGCCGCCTTTATAACCCACGCGGCTGGCTGGCTGGCTGCCCTCCCTCGCCGCCAAATAAGTCCCGGCGAGCTTCTCCAAGCCACCCAGCGGTGGAGGAGGCATCGGCGAGGCGCGCCTGCGCAGGAGAAACCTGAGGCGGCGCGCCCGCCCGCGCGCCGGAACCCGAGCTTCCCTCATAGGCAACCCAGGCAGACAATTCCCCCCCAGCCAGAAACATCACCTCAGT